AGCAGAAAAAAAACCACCTCAACACTGGAGCGGAATTACATTGCTCCGGCTTTATCAGTTTTTTCCGTCGTCAAGCCTTTGGAGCACCATCAGAACTAGAGAGGCGCCGTAAGCCAGCTGTAGGCCACGCCTCTGAATAAATTCCCTAAAAAGTGCCCCAAAACCACCCAAAATAAGTAAAAAAAAAAAAAAACCCACAACAACAGAAACAGCCCCCACTCCATCCCACCCACCCAGACCCAGAAACCCTCAGTGTGCAACACAACTGTGAAAAGTGCTCTTAAAAACCCCTAGCTTTCCTTTACGCCTGAGCTTTCTGCCAATCCCGGTAACATTTCAGGCTTCGATTCACTGTCCCCTTTCGGGGGGCCTGCTACGGCCCGCTGCTGCGCCCAAACGCTCCCTGCGCGCCTGCACAGGGCACGCGGCAACATGAGAGCGGCACACACTTCCCCCACTAGAATACAGCCCACCTACAGCACGTCTACAGCATTTGGTAACCGCATCATGACCACGGACAGCAGAGGACTTTCCGTATTTTATTTTTCATTTATGAAATACAATAAGTTAACTAAAAAAAAAAAAATCTAGCCCCAAGTTCCACGGTGTCAAGTACTCCACTCCAAACCACAAGCGACCGTTACACGCCAGGAAAGCGTCACTCCGGGTTTACAGCGACATTGCCTTCAGGACTTGGTCACAGAGGACGCCACTACAAGCAGTGTATTTTACGCTGTTCCCAGAGAGCAAGCCGTCCCACGGCTCCAGGCTCCGCAGCTCCCTGAGCATCGGGTTTGGTTCGTCTCACACCACAGCTTATAGGGAGCTGGGGGAGAAAGGGGGAGCAGGGAAGCGTGTGATTCGATTTCTATTTTCACTAAAGGCAAACTTTTGTGGTAAGACGTTTTACCCGGACGGCAAATCCCAGGTGTGGAAACACAGCCAGAGCAGTACAGCAACTGGAGGAAGACGATGGGGTAAGTGTAACTAAGGCAAAAAGGGAGTCACTTCTCTTTTGACATGATCAGGGCAGACAGTTGGGGTGGGGAAATGATTCAGTAGCACAATAGGTATCACAGTACACCTAGACTACAGAATCAGTGAGAATATCTTAAGCTTGACTGAGATCTACGTTTACCTTTACAAATTCTGACGAATATTTAAAACCTCCTCTTCCTTCCCCTTCCTCCCACAACTGTAGTCTGCTGCACTTTTCAAAAGCACACAAGTTTGCTTTTACTGAAATTTAAGGCTATTATGAAAAAATGAAGTGTAGGGCTTCTTTTTCAAAACTAAGTATAAAAGTCAATCCACTCTAGAAGGTCTTAGAGAACTCTAAATACAACCATCCGTTTTCCAAAACGAATCAACTCATTTTTGTATTTGGAAGACAAAAAATTTTATACTGCAGAAGTTTGTCTTCATACACATACTTTTGTCCTAGAAACCGAACACTCTGGTACCAGGAGTTACAACTGTAAGGTACCTTCAGCTCAGGACACACACCCTTTGCTGAATCCAGACGTGCTGGTGGGAGAGGTTCATCATCACTCTCTTTGCCTCAAAGTACCAGATTATCAGAAGGTCTACTATGGAACATCCTAAAGTTAATCCACCTGGCTTTGAGACAGGCTGAGGATGTACTCACACAAGCACACCTCAAGAAGCAGCAGTTTCTGGGAAGGAGTGCTGGGAAGACGATGTCTGCCTATAGCCTCAGTGCTCTCGCCCAAGAGAGAAAAATACGAAGGAGGAGCAGAGACAGACACAGTCCTAGCCATGACCACAGCTCCCAGTTTTCTTCATGGGCACAAGAGGATACTTTGCTTATTCTACATGCACCTGTGAAAGTTCAGTGCATTAGAGGACTTAACATTTGAGAGGGTGAGGATCCTTTCCATCACAGGAAAGTGGATAATTTTGCATCCCCTAAATTAGGCAACAGTGTTGCTGGTGGTTTAAGAGTCAGCTGAACCTGGTCCAGCAGCAGCACGAAACTAGGTAGGGCGTCACAAAAATGGCTACAAGCAACTCTTCTTCCTCCTAACCTTAAAGTGCTGGGAAAATGCAGCATGACCAGATTAGTAGCCTAGGAAAAAAATATCCACGGTGCTACCAAACATACAATTTCCTAACATGACAGACAAGCTTCCTAGGAATTTAGACCTTAAAAAAATCCTCCAGAGATGCTGAGAAGAGAGTTACATATAGAAAAAATACAACCTTGAAGAAACTGGTTAACAGTAAAAAATACTCCAGTCTTGGTATGGTCAAAAGGCATTTTTAGAATAAAAGTGACCCTTTCTAATGCAGGGATATCACTTCATTTGTCCAATGGCATTTTTCACTAAAGAAATGCTCCTCCAATTACAAACATCAAAGATAACACTTTAATAATAATACTTTAGGTATTATTTAAGGTTTATAACTTACTAGAAGTTAATTTCTTTTTTAACAGACATTTCCTATTTTTATCTTGAAAGGACAGCTAATCTTAAAGCAGTCACATATGGATGAAGACTCACTACCTAAGGGTCATTTCTAAACACCCTCCGTCCGACTAATTTGAGACGAAAGAGCTTTTCTTTCCCCACAGAAACAGGCTCCTTACCAGTCAATACTTCACCAGCCACTGCGTAGATGACTGACCTACCCACCAGAAGCATCCGTGAAAAAGCAAATCCCACTATAGGTACGTTAGCTACGGGCTCTGACCAACAACTGCAAAGTTGGCTGCACCTGCTGACAGTTACTATCTCCTGGCAAAAGCTTATTTTTCACCTAACAGAGAAGGCTAAGCATGGCATGTATCTGACTGCGAGAATCAGTCATAATCCTCAGTCAGATGGCATTGCTAAAATAAAGTTCTGTCACTTTGTAACATGTTATAAAAATTCACTGATTACCTTAACAGACTAGAAATAATCACGGCAGTTTTCCAGTAAATACAGCATCATGAATTCAGTCAAATCAGAAAAAAAGTATAAAAAAACCTTTCAAAATAGCTCTTTAGTTATACTTTGCTTGAACTGAACCCTTGGCATATAAGCAGCATGAGTAATCTCGTTTAATTTCCCACCGTAAGTCAAGACAGAACACAAACAATAAAAATAAGAATAATCTATAAAAACCACAGTACATCAGAAATCTATGTAAAAAAACATATGTCTGTATCAAGGAGCTCAATAACAACTTAAAGCACCACTCAAAATTAAGTACCATACATGTTACAGTACATGCCATTTATTATGACAATTTAAGGCTAAAATAGGAACGACTCCCTTATAGTCAAGCTTTCTTATATTTATAAATGTATACAAACATTAAGTAGATACAAATGCGTAGGGTTTTTTTTATTGCTCTGAACTGTCTACTACAATGTTCGACTTTCCCAGATGTCGTCTCAGTTTGCCTTTTTCAATCAAGCTGAAGTCCTACAATTGCAACTTATGGCACTTGTAAGATTATAGACCTTCTTTGATTTGAGCTGTAAATAAATTCAAAGACACATCAGAAAATTGCCCATCACTGCAAACTTTGTAGCTTAGTTAACTAAACATTCGCCATAAAATACATAACAATTCACCACGAAGATTATTTCTGCAATTCTTCAGGAAGGATTTTCTTTTCAAAATAATAGGTCTAACCAAGCGGCAAACAAGACAACCAGCAAGAAAGGATTGACTAGTACCAGTCTAACAGACTGGGCTTAAAAAAAAAAAAAAAAGAAAAAAGCTGAATACGTGCTCCAAAACAAAGAGCAAACTTTTCTTCTTGCTCATAGAGCAATTATGTTTCCTAATTACGTAGGGCAATGCCTCATTCTGCCAGTGCCAAATTCTTTGACTGTAGCTTGTCCATTTCTTGACCAATATTTCCTTCAATGGTATCACACTGGGCAAGAAAAACCTGAGAATAAGAAACGAACAAATGTTATTTGGGATGCAATTATAGCAATGGTAGATGCTTCTTAAGAACAGAAACTGCAGTTTCCATCATGAATTTGAAGAAGCCAACTCAACAACCACCTTCCACAGTTCAGTTTTAATACTAGCTTGTTCACAATTTTGTTTACCCAGAATCCAACAGAAGCATGGTATCTGATAAGGCAACAACGCGGCTGCCCATCCTCACCAGTCCTGCTGCTGAAGTACTGTGAGTTGATCCAAAGTCCATAAACAACAATAAGGATCGTAAAGGTTCAGACAAGTTAGTGCTTCAGTTTGGAACATGACTTTTAAACTCCTTTCTAAAACACATACATCTGTAGCTGAGGGTGGAAGCGACAAACCTACTCAGTCAAATCTAAAACAAGCTTTCATTAAACCAAGGCCACTTCTATTTCTCAGGACTACAGGGCAACATGAACCCTCATCTTTATCAGTAAGTAGCTGGTGTGCCTCAAAAGACAGAAGGCTCCTTTCCAAAAAGGAGCACAGCACCTTACGCTTTCTTAGAACCTGCCTGCAAGTTCTTACAAGTATAGTAACCCATACACAGCAATTAAGAGCCAGCAGCTACTGGTCACTTTGCTTGTGCTGTACACAGCACAACACACCAGCACTTTAAGCCAATAAATTCTTTTAGGCCAATTCCAATGTATGCGAGTACATTGCAGTTTCTGAGCAGACTCTCCCATTACCTATACATGTCTTGCACTCAGTTTTGCTATGTCTGCACTAGACTTTAACAGTCAAACCAGATATTTAATGTTATTTACATTACAATGACATTAAGAAACCTCCTTCCCTCTAGAGCAGCAAACTGTTGTGCCAGGTGAATGTTTCTCAACCATCACACTGTTTTGAATCATGTGTCTTCAACCAATCCCTTGAGCTGGCATCAACTCACTTCTGTAAGGACTTGAGGGATGAAAAAGTCAAGGTGGTAAGAATTGCAGTTGCTGGCTGCAAGTGCTTTGTATCTGTCTCCCCATTCTGGAAGATAATGTGATTGCCAGCAACAGAAGGTAGTTAATAGCTCCCCCCTCGCTTTCAGGAATACTTAAGAGTAATAAGCATAACTTGCCATCATTTTCTTGCTCTGGAAAAACAAATTGTTGTTGACTGCTCTGGTCTGAAACCCCTTAGATTCTTCTGCAGTCCTCAAAGGGTTCATAACCTACAGTTGCAGAACACTGTGCCTATAAAAGCACAACAATAATTCTGATCTCTGCTCAACAGTCTGTTTTATGCTTTAACAGCAGTTCTTATACAAAGCCCCACTTATTTCTGCAATAACTTCACCCAAGAGCGGAGCTCTGGTAGCTTGCCATGAGGGTTATAGCCATACCTCTATTACAAACTTTTGCTGCTTTGGTTAGGCACATGGAATCAAGAGCATGTTCAGAGCCCCATATAACATAGCTATGCCAGCAGCCATCTTCATTTCAATTTGCATTATCTGAACTTACCTCTGTAGCAGAGTACAAAGGACTTCGTCCCTAAAGCTATAACAAAAAACATTTCTACTACGAAGTACTTCTTGCTAAGGCTTCCTCCAAAAATAGATGGCTATTTTAAAAAATTTGGGAAACATTTATAGGAAGTATTTAATAAGGTTACAGTAAAAGACAGAACATTCCAACTCCATATATGAATGCAAGGTACTTTCACAAATAATTTTCAGGAGTCTAACCTGCGACTGAAGCTAGCATAATACAAACAAAAACAATAATACGAGTAGCATTACCATTCATTTATGGAAGTTTGGCTTTTGGGAGAGGAGGGAGGAAGGACGAATTCCAGTATTTAGTAACAAACCTTCAGTTCAAGGTCTCTAAGGAAACA